GCCGATGAATCGCTGGAGAAATTTGATGTATATTAAAGATAAAGACAATAGAGATGGTGATGACAATTAAAATATTTCTCCAGTTGTATGCCACATAAATATTTAGTGCCCATATCATTAAAAAAAAGGAGCAAATTTGCATGGTTATTCATCTTTGAGGCGTCCATTTAGAAACAACTCATATGACTTCGCATGTAGAGTTACATGCACAGTCTAATAAAATTACGTCACATGGAGGTGACAGAAAAATAAAATAAGATCTGTTCGGTGAGACAGCTCATATACAGGCAGGACTTCGCATGTAGAGTTACATACGGAGTCTAATGAAATTACGTCACGTGAAGGTGACAGAAAAATAAAATAAGATCTGTTCGGTGACACAAGCGAATATTTCTCCCGTGTTATTCATGTGTTATTGATGTGTTATTATAACACCGAAAATATTCCCAGAACACAGTAACACTTGAATAACATATAATAACACCTGAATAACACAGAATAACACGGGAGGAACATTTCCCGGTGTTATCGGGCTGATTTTATTGAACTCCGCACGTAACTCTACGTGCGAAGTACTGATGCAATATTTTTTCACATTTTGGGTAGACATTCATGCATTTCCAACTTGTCTTTTACCTAAAATAAAACGAAAAAATGTGAATGATTACCTGCCATTTTGTAGCCCCACCCTCAAATGTAACCAAAATTGGAATTTTATTTTTTAATAATTCAATGCCATATACAAGAAAATGTGGCCCATGACATCATGACTTTGGGCAATATTTTTAGAAATGATAGAGATATTGAAATAATAATATAATCCCCAATTATTGCGCTAAAGTATTGTGAGTCCTGCCTCATGGCACGTAAATGAGTGTCCATTTGTTGTGGCTGAGGTGTCCATATTTTAAAATGGCTACTGTTCTAAGTTTGACTTACGACATGCATGCATTTATTAGTTCAGTATTCAAAGGGCGTATTTCTTTTTCTGATCAAATAGACATGTTTGATTCAATAAATATTTGTGAACATGACCTATTTAAATATATTTCAATAATTAAGAATAACACCTACATGCCATAATAATTTTAAATTAACATATGGTTTAACTAATCTTATGCCAAATTGTGCAAGTAATCCTTGAAATTTAGCCATGCATGCACTTCATGAGGATGCATGATAAATACATCCAATTTTATGCCATAATTATTATTGGATGTTGATATGTCCGTAAATCGACATCATCAAGAAAAGAGTAGAAATAAGCGTGTATAGCCTTAATATGAAATCGCCGAGTTGGAAGGATCACATCTGCCGAAGAGGCGCTATAAATCACAGAACTGCAGAACCGACCACTAAGGTCGACCATATGAAGGACCACTTGGCTGACCATCTTGGCCAGCCACCTCAGCTAGCAAGCCGCCATGACAGACCAATTCTTAAAAACAGAAAAGTTCACATAAAATACCACCCAAATCTTGTCGGCCACTCTTTGGCCGACCACCTCGCCAGCATGCTGGCCAGCCTCCTCCTGCCACCCTGGCGGGCCACCTCGCTGCTCTGGTCGGCCACCATCGTCTTTCAACCCTTAAGAAAGAAGAAATTTTACATGGATGTCACCTCTCAAACAACACATTTATTTAAACTTGTCAGCCACCCTTTGGCTGGCCGCCCACTAGCCGGTCGCCTCTAACTCCAGTCAGCCATCTACTTGCCGACAGACTCTAGCTTGAGAGAAGAGGATAGACCTCAAGTAAAAATGAGGTCAACAGATGCTTGGGCACTAACCATTATAACTCCAGGTATAGGGTGGCATATCATACCACATGCAACAAATATATATCAATCATGCAACACAACAAATGTGAAATGACACACAATACAAATAAAAATGACTCCAACATGCATACAATTGGAAATGCATAATGCAAATAGAAACAACAGTCATATTAAAGGCATGGCACTGTAATGTCATGAATCAACAACTGCAACTTAGCCTCTCTAATCTAGAGGCAAAGAGTTTAGAGTTGTGACATCGAAATGTGATACCAATGGGCTGGTCCCTTTGATCATTAGACCAATGTAAGGGAGGGACATATTGACACTCTAAAACTTAAAATGTAGACACCTACTTCTAAGTAATGACAGAGATTCAACATTTTTCTACAGGCCTCACCAAGTGGTTTGAATCGGTAAATAAAAAATTATTAAACAAACTTATAATGATTAATTCAGTAATGAAGAGGTTGCTATAGATCCATCCATTTAGTCGGACGAAGAACTGTCATCCAAGCAGAGGGGTGTACCAACAGTTTGTGATACGAATTCCTAAGTCCTCAACCTCTAAATGTTAAGGAATTCTTTATTCAAAACTACCAAACTCAGTTAGCATAGCAAAGCTAGAATGAGGGTCACCAATAATATGGCAGGATGTACCATGTGTAAAAAGCCAAGACTTACCTTGACCTATATCTGTTAAGAAGCCACCACATGCTTGACTGAGTTGAACCCGACTAATCAACAAGGTAACATGCGATCATTTCACTATAATAAAGGAAAAATAATGATTATTTGTCCGCGAAAAAGTAAAATGGTCTCGAATAGACCGAAGTTCTATCGTGCCAAAAGACAACATTGCAACATTGGGAGTAGAAATGTGATGTCACAAATCTAACAACAAAGTTGTGGCACCGACTGATAGACATAACGACAAATAGGGGCTAGCACTACATCTCCATACTTGAATGCTACAATTCTAGCCCCAAATAAACAAAGTTCAATTGGAGCCACATTGTCGCTGACTTGGACATAAAAGAGACATCAGTGTTGCAATATTGGAATGCATCATCCTAAAGCCTTATGTAGCATAGGATGGCATCAATATGTTATTATGAAGGTAATAACGAGCTGCTACATAGGATGAAATGATGCTTAAGAACCCATACACGACACTGAGTCATTAAATCAATAATAAAGGGGATAGTTCCATGACGCCTGAGGTAGGCACCATAAGGTTAAGACTAAACCAGGGCCCTACTCAAAGAATGAAGAAAAAACTCACCTAGGTTTCCTCTAATACAAAACCTACCCCACCTTCTGTAACACAAAACCTAAGGCTCTGGAGAATGAAAGCGCGAGGCTTTGATAATATTTCATAAATGTGAAGGTTGATGTAGTCCTTACACTCTCATGGTCGTTCTGCTAGCTTTTTTGGCCACAGAATCACTGTAGCTCCAATGACGAACAACTAGAATGAAATGTGGAGGGAAGCTTACACATGGCCCAAACACTCGAGAAGGAAGGCAGGGGGAGTGAGGACTCTCTACTCTCTCTCAGATGGTAGGAAGGTCTAAAGCACAAAATTTCCAAGTCTTGCTCCACAAAATTCTCCAACTATGAAAAGCACCACCTCTGATGATAGAGATTACGCCAAAATAAGAAGGGCTTAAAGATGAGGCATCGAGAGAAGCTCACAAACCAAAACCTTAAGGAGACATCTCACCACTCAAAATGAAGGGAAGGCTCTCAGTATTCACCCTTGGGAGCTCAAAGATGGGAGCTAGATTAAAAAGTCCCAATCTTAGAGGTAGCTATTTAAATGACAAAATTTTGTCTGTCATTGCGGCGCTCTGACATGGCATGTGTCATGTCAGCTGATATGATAGAGTTCATAGCTAAATTCCTAACATGTGTCAGCATGGCACGATAGCATAGCGATGCTGATTATGTGGCACATATTGACCAACTTGGGTGTGATAGTGCTTAAAACGCACGCCTAGCCCTTCCGACCCAAAATCTCCAAATTTACATTTTTGCCCTAAAATGTGTGGAAATGAGTCCAAAGTGTTAGAACATAGTATGTCAACAGAAACATGCTGAAACTGACACCAATAATGGGAGAGAGAAATGAGACTAGGAACTTGAACTTATATTTAGGATCTTTAGAATAATAATTTGGAGGATGAAGAGGAGGCTATCTCATAGATGGCTAGAAGACAACTGAAATGGAGTGCCTGAGGATTTGGGACGACCTCAGGTGTCAGTGAAAGGACAAAATTGATGTGAACTAGGTCTTAGTAGTTGAAGAATATTGAGGTAGGTTGTATAACTTGCCCGAGCACACAAAGGCCAAGCAATAAGTCCAAAAGTATATTTCAAACTATAAGAGCTTTAAATGCACTTGCATAATCATTGCTTGACATTAGATGGAGCTTCGTCCAAGCAGAAATGGAAGCACAACAACGATGAGAGGTAGCTCGTAATTCTTGAAGAAGCACACGTTGTATAACTTGACAGACAGCTTGGGGTTAAATAGAAAAATGGAGGGGTATGGAGTGATAGTTTTGAAGGTAATACAATATTATAGGTGGTAGAACAATAAATATTAGCTTTTGGTGTTAGGTAAATATAAATGTTTGTTATTACATGTACATAAATCCCCCATCTATGTTTGTTACAAGAATTTTCCATGCTTAACATACTAAAGGTTGCATGTTCTTCCATTACTGTATTAGTTACACTTCCTCAACATTTTTGTAGCACTTAGATAATATCTTGCATGCATATATTAACCAAAAGCTCTTCTCATTGTCAGCAAGAGCAAGTTGCAAGATGCGCCCACTTCAATAAATTCCAAATCACTACTGGATAAATACATGCACAATCGATCAATTGAGCAGAGGCCCAAAAAACACTGAATACTTACAAATTCGAGCATTTGAGCACACTTCCAAACATAATTGCTTGAAGAAATTCCTTTGAAATGATGTCAACATCATCAACAATCACATATTCATTGCTTGTAGCTCTATAGTCTTGTAAGCGCAAAAAGAATCAGATTAAGCTTGTCATTACAGCACAGATTATTGCAAAAATAAAAATTAATGATTCAGATTCTATAATATAAAAATCATAAAATCTAGTACTGCTATCAAATGAAACCTTACATTTAGTAAGCACAAGAAGTTACACGAATTAAAATGTGATTACAGCATCAATACAGCAAGCAACACACCTCCATTAGTTTATTAAAAATATACATTAAGAACTTGTTAAGTTACAGACAGCAGAAACTACTAAACAAGAAAATGAAGCTTAAACAAAGTTAAGGAAATGCATAATGATATTCTAGAAGACATTATTATTACTCAAAGCTAGATCTAATCACAGCCGTATATTTAAGTCATAAAAATAGCCATCTCCATTCCAATCCAAGTTAAAGGCTGCTGCATTTATAAAGGAATTAGCGTGACCCATCAAGTCCCAACCTTGCAGTAAGCCATTTGCAAACTTCATCCATTTCTTCGGGGACAGTGTAGTGCCCAAGCCTGCATGCAACCAATTCATTTTTACATAAAAAGAATGATAAATATTTTGCAGATTGAGCAAGTAACTAAAGTGAGAGTTTTTATACCCATTGTAAGTTTTGAATGTAAGATTTCGGAAAGCAGATGATCTTAAAAATTCAGCAGACTTCTCCCCATGCTTATAGAGCACAACATCATCAGCTGCAACAAGGATTCAAGTTAAGAGCCTAATTTAAGAGGCAGGAAATTGTTTATTTATTTATTTTTTTTGATCAATGAAGCATTTTATCTCATAAATTTGTTGAAAATTTTTAATTTTTTTTAAAAATAAATGGAATGTCGAGATGAGAATGATTAGTGGATGAGTGGCTTTACACTTAGAGACAAAATGCGAAATGATTATATCCATGATAGGACTGGTGTAGCTCCAACGACGGACAAAATTAGAGAGAGTCGTCTTAAATGGTTTGGTCGCATTAAACTTCGACCATCTGATGATCCGATTAGGAGAGTAGATGTTTTAGATTCGACTTATGTTAAGAAAGACAGAGGTAGACCTAGGAAGACTAGGGCTTATTGTATAAAAAACGATCTTAATTTATTAGAACTAAATGAAAATATCACACTAAATAGGATGAAATGGAGAAAAATGATTAATGTAGCCGACCCCACGTAGTGGGATTAAGGCTTTGTTGTTGTTATTGTTGTTGTTGTTTAAAAATAAATAGAGTCGTTGATCTCATGTTATGTATAACAGTCCACATGCTAATCGAAGAACCGTGACAGACTAGAAGTCTTTTAGGTTATTTTAACACTACATCTTAGTGCTCTATCTCATAATTGTTCCCAATTATTACATTAACAAAATAATTAAGTTCAATTAAAAAAAAAAAAGGAAAAGAAAAATTTAAGTATCTCAATAATTATTTCTCCCACAGTTTCTCTTTTAGTTGTATTTCTCTAACATAGTGATTTGGAGCTCCAGCTGATCCAAGGAGCTCGATTTTATATTGCCCAGAAAATGAATTTTCGTTTAACTTGTATATTCTGTAATCAGAGTTAATGTACTTCTATGTACTTTTACATTCAATTTTTTCCAAATAAAAAGTAAAAATAAAATGTTGCATTCAACATTATTTTCTTTTGAAATGTTCTTAGAAAAAATATTGTTCGGTATTATCATCAATAAATCTCTGCACTCTTTTACAATATTGAAAATCCAAGATTATATTCATAAATATGTGCCTTTCAGATGTGTAATTAAGTTTATGAAGTGGCATGAATGAGAAAGTTTATGACTAAAAGAGAAAAACATACCAGATATCTAGTAAGAATGTTACTCTTATATTTCATGTCATTATATGATGATTAGGTTGAGCTTATTCCTTAATAAGTCTAAGGCAATAATTTCTGTAAAGTTCATACAATCACTTAGAAGGCTCTAAGGATTCAATTAAGTGAAAGTAGATATGAGGCTACAAAAATGCAGTTTTGGCAAAATCCTTAAATAGATCTCATGAAAATCGAAATCAAGCGCAAGAAGGTACGAATTATACCTAAAATTTTAAAACCAATGCAGTACCAATGAAGATTGATTTATAGGGTTCCCTTTAAGGATTATCATTCCACCATTGATCTTCTATCTTAATGTTCGAGGCATCTCAATCTATTATTTAGAATGATACTCAATAGTAAGCCCATATTTTTTCTTCAATCATTTGTTTCATTTCAATTATTTTTTTGAACTTTAATTCTTTAATGCAGGAATGATGGTTTTATTCATTTTTAAAAGACTTTCAAGTTAAAAAAGAGATTGTTTATCCATAAAACCAAATGAATCAAAATCTATCTAACTTCATGTGTAACATCATTAAGAAAGTGAAATGAAAAGTGAAATATGCAATTATGGGCCCTTTCCCTTAATCTTAGAAGCTAAGAACTAAAAAGTACTTAATGATACGCATGTGTACCTTTAACTTGTACATCCTGTAAATATGCAAGCCATTCATCATCAAAGAAAGAAATACTCATCATATTTCCGCTTAGAAAATGTGCTTTTATATTATTATTTTACGCTGCTTAAGGATTAAAGTTCTTAGGAAAATTCAACCCGATTCTATAACGTCGTGGAAAAACGAATTAGCCTCAAAAGTAATGCTGAGAGCAGCCGCTACGATGAATCCTACATAAGGGATGCAATTTAATCCAAGGGTAGAGATTTAATCTTACCATCCCAGACTTGCATTTCTTGTATATTTATTTATTTTGGTCTTTATAACTTTTTTACTATAGTGAATATATCATTTCAATAGTTTAGATAATTTATCCCAAATATTTATATCATGATGTTCTTACCAAACCAACCAGCTATTCTTAAATTTTTTTTTTGTTTTCTTAGTGGGGTTTCAAGTCATTTGCATCCATAACGGGGAGAAATCTTGAAATTGGTGGTTTCAAAGAGCCAATGTATTTAACTTATGGAACAATGAATGATAAAAAGCAAAGGACAACTGTGTATTAATGCCTGGATTATAAATTCTATTTTTTTCACTTTTTATGCATATAATGACTGTGGGATGAAAATGTATAAATTTATAGATCCATTAGAGCAGAACTATCCAGGTTTTTAAAATAAAATGATACCTTTACCATGACAAAGCAAAAGTGGCAAAGCAGCAGCCCTTCTAGCAGAATCTTGAGAACTTTCAACTTTATTCTTCAAGCTCCTAAAAAAATAGATAGAGGTGCAAACATGGTTTACGGTACATTTGACTGCTTGAAATAATAAAAAATCTTTTAAAAAATGATATTTTATAGATTCAATCAGTTGGCTAGACGTGATCGAAAATCAATACTGATTTTAAAGTCTAAAACACCTACAGATTCTCTTAAATTATATTTCACTCAAAATAAGCGAAAACAAAATCACCTGGAACATGGAAGCCAACCACTCAAACCAACCACTACACTGAGGTTAATTGGGTATGGATTTCCGCTTCCGAATCTCCCATAAGCACAGCAAACTGCAGAGTAAAGGGCGGTTGAAGCGCCCATACTGAAACCACCAATACCAAGTTGAACTGCATTAACAGCAAAATCAATCCAGAAATTAGAAATCATTCCACATGTTATTGAAAAATCACAACATGCGTGGAAAATGTAATGAATCTTTAGGAAAAAGTAAATGTTTTTTTCAATTTTACTTCCTCAGATAGTTACTTCGAAGGGGCATTATCATTCAGGCTCAAGCTTTACCTTATCTTGTCTTGGACAGCAAGAAGCTTAAGGTAATAATTGTAAGATTAATTGGAGAACTTATTTTTATTTGGGCTAATAATGAGGATTACTAGGATAAATTAGTTATTTGGTTAATGAACTAGATAAATTAGCTTATAAATTGGAAAATAATTTAGCTTATTAATTAAGAATTAAAGATGGTAGATCGAGAATAATGATTCAAATTAGTCAATAAATGATGAAGATAATAACCGATTAAACTAATAATAAAGTATTTATGCAATGGTCTGAACTCTTACTCATTGAGATAGTCTGCTTTGGCCTAATGACCTTCTAGTTTTGTCCTTGGATATCAAAAATGTGTCAGCAAGAATTTTAAAGAGATCTAACAGCCGAAAAAAAATGATAAAGTGGTTGACCGGAACACATTAGAAATAGTTCAAGGGCCCCTATCTATCGAGTCGACATCTGCAGGGCCCCTATCTATCGAGTCGACATCTGCAGATCGGGAAGGAAGTAATCTAAAGATGAGCAAAATTTGACCGCCTCCCTTAAAGTCAGTCGGTGCAAAGCTCACTCAGATGAACCCGTCGGCATCCTTCAACCAAGCCGAGCGAACGAAGACGGACGCCCGTATCTAAGTGGTCGGCCAGGGGTCTCCCGGTTCGCCCTTCAGTCATAGCTGCCCAAAAAATGGCCTGTCCGGTCGTTCCCTCAGGCCCCCAACGCATGACAGCCTAGCCCAAAATTTGATGGGATGCCTTCCCAAACTCCCGGCCCCACCCAACCGGACTCCATTTTAGGAGCCCGACCCTATAATTATGTGTTGACCAAAAAGCCCCCCTTCGTACCTACTTTTCTAGGGGTAAAAAAATGTAATTAGATACCCCCCATTCCTATAAATAGGGGCTCATTCATGAATAAAGGTTAGACGATTTTACTATTCATTATCAAGCTCTCTATCCTCTTCCTCTCTCTCGAGCTCTCTTCCTTAGGCGTGTCTCCCGGACAATTTTGGATTCAACAGTCCTATTGATGTAATTTCCCAGGAGGCCACCCATCCTAAGAGTGCTCCTATATGAGCACGTTAACTTAAGAGTTTCTAATGAAATTTTAACCATTACACTAAAAAGTGCCTCGATGTTTAAGAGTTTACTGATATTCTATTTAAGGGATTCACAATATGCCTCACTTAAGTTAATTGACATCCTTGACAGTTTGCTTAACCTAGAATTTTTACCGTTAAAGATTCAAGAGGTGGTTCCCCACAAGATTTTATCCCATCTAGGGTTCAAGGAGCGACTCCCATGAAACACACTTTATTTTGTATGGCACTTAATTTCTATATTCAAGTTGGTGTAATGCTTTAATACCATTTGTAACAGTTTGAACTCTCAAGCCTCAAGATATTGTCCACTTTCGCCTACTAGCCTCACAATTATCTTTTTGGTGTAATTTCCCAAGAGGTCGCCCATCTTGAGAATGCTCCTATATGAGAATACTTAATTTTAGAGTTTTTGATGAAATTCCAACCATTACAACAAAAGGAGATTTGATGTTTAAGAGTTCGGCATCATTCTATTTAAGAGTTTGACAATAAAAATTTGGATCCTTTCTTAATTTATGTGTGCATCCTTGCGCAGGGTCCAAGCTAATCTTGTATATATCATTCCAAAAATTTCAGGTCTCTTGTGATGAAATTCCAATCATTACACCAAAGGCACTTCCATGTTTAAAAGTTCATATTCATTCTACATCTAGGGTTTCAAAACTAAATCAAGTAATTAACCAATTTAACTAAATTACTGGTTAATAATTAATTATAATATTAAATAAGAATATTAATTAGTCTTTTATAATGCATAAATTAAGCCAACTAAACATTAAAATGATTAAGAAAATAAATTAGTTTAATCCATCATTATTAAAAATAAGAAATATTATACAAGGTAAATGTTAAATATTTACACAAGCACCAAAAGGTAAGCTAGATTAAAAGCTAATGCACCTTCTCTATAGTAACTAATAAGCTTATCCAAGCCTATGCACTAAGGCTGCAATAAGCCAGAAAAAAAGTTAATCAGCCTATCCGATTTTCATATTAAATACCGACGAGCTTAAACAAATTAAGCTACTATAAATTGAAGTTAAACCACAATCCAACAACCATTTAGCACAAAACCCAACCAAACCAAAGATCAAAAGACTAAGATAAAAGATCACAAATAAAAAAATTATTTCTGTTAGAAACTTACTGCCAGCTGGTTCAGCTGATAGAAGGTTTGCAACATGGGTAGCTGACGCATCCATACCTTCTATATCATCAGGACCGTTCTCAGAAAATTCTCCAACATCAAACCCTAATAATAGATACAACATAATATGATTTAAATTCAACATCCAACAAAAAAAGCTAATCCATTCTAACACAAGCATTCAAATAAGGTTTTCAGAAGTAGAAGCATGAGGTAAGAGGCATTTATAAGCGTGCTCACATGCAGGGCAAGCGAACCCGCCAAAAGCTGCAACAGGTCGGGTTGGTGCTGTAGGACAGATCCATTTAATCTGTAAATACAAATAAGTAGAAAACAGTTTCCATGAAAATTTGAAAAAGGAAGGTTGCAACTTGCAAAAAATTCATTTTTAATTTATATTATAATCCCTTACATTAGGAAGAGGAAGTGTTTCCAGGAGCTGGGACCAGCTGGAAAGAAAATTAAGCACTAAGTGTCAGATTATTGTTATTTCAAAATCATTAAGATTAGTTAACAGAGATATAGATGAAGTTTTGGATAGAGTTAAAAAGCTTTTAAAAAGAATTACCAATGCCAATGTTAAAATTACCTCTAAAGTTTAAGAAACTCAAGCTATTCATAAACTAGTATGAGAATGTTTAATTTCATTTCAAGTAACCAAGTAATAATTTTGAAACGATTATAGAAGAAGAAGTTTCCATTTAGTTCATGCTTAGAAAAATGACAATAACGGGCAAGCTACTATGGTTAGTCTTCATCTCATGTGCTCGGTATGAAAGTATATTAGTAATGTTATGCACATGTTAAAGACAAGGGATATCAAAACATGGGGAAAAAATGGCTAATAAAGAAAATATCTACCAAATTAATCAAAGGCAGATGGATTGCTAAATATAAAACTTCAACAAGCAAAAGAAAAACATTGCAGATAAATATTTTTATAAGTAATGACAATAAACAAACTGAACATAATAGAAAAAAATGAGGGCACTGTACATATTATATCTAGTAGTCTTACACGGTTATTGAAAACAAATGACATCATTGTGAGCATAATCGAAAAAATATATATTTTTAAAAATTTACATGCATATAGTACATAAACAACCACAAACTACAGAATGTCAAACTGCGTAAGGTAGCAAATCATGTATGATTATCTCAACAGGGCTAAAAGTAACTGGAAATAGAATAAGATGAAAGCAGACAACCAATACTTATTTAATGTTGCTTACTACGGTTATTCTGCCATATAAACCTAGGAAAAGTACAACACAATTGAAGTGAATATATTGCCACATTGAGATAGTAAGCAGTGGTCCCAAATAAGAATTTAGGCATACTAATTATTCTTTAGAATCCTAGAAGAAGCCATCTAGTAAAGGACAAGCTCAATTGAAAGTAACATTAGCTATATTTTATTATGTTTGGTGGTAATAAGCAGTCCACTCAAATACCATCTTGAAAAATGAAATATTTAATAAACTGCAAAATGATCCAATAAATAGAATAACATGCCTACTCATTAACTTAAAGAATAGCCCTGCCATTTTTCATCCACTATTTTACAATAGAAAGGAATCATCCCTTATTACCATAAAAAAAAATACAAGCTTAAAGCAAAACAAGCGTAATAAGCTCTTAAATATATTTAGTAAAGTAATACTAGGAATACCTGAAAGAACAAAACCATGGCAATCATTTTTATGGAAAAGTAGAGAATAAAGTGGTAAGCACAATCATATTAAGGGACAATCTTCCATAATCGTATAGACCATACGGTGGCCACTTTTTGACATGCATGTGCTGACAAAACTCATGCCATAAGTCATTTTAGGTTGGTGATAGTTTGAAACTTTAACAAAGACAGCAAGCACTTCTTTTACTTTTCTTTTTGTATTATGAAATACAATAAAATGATATTTTAAGAACGACTAAGCTTAAAAACTCAAGAAGAGAACCATTGTGCAGAATAGATTCCAATTCAAAAGTAAATGTTTCTCAACTACAAGACCGCATATAAACATCCATGATTACCAGTAATCAAGAGAAAAAAAATAAAAAAAAAGAGAAAGACCACTACTTTAACAAATTCAGAGTAATTAAACAATTAATAAGCTTAAACTATACCTTGCTCCGTTGTCACCAAGACCATGAAGCCAGACAAGAGTAGCCTGGTGTCTCCCCTTGGGTTTGACCACATGCGTCCTCCCAAACTCAAAAACCCTCCTGTTAGTCCTTCCCCCTGCATTCCCACTCAATGAGTTCAACAATAGAAGGCCATAACAAAAACTAATAAAACCATTACATGCATGATAATAATAATTGACACAATATAAATAATTATAAGAAACAGAAGAGGGTAACAAATGATGTAAACCAGAACCAAGCGAGCTGCTTCCATAATTCATCTTCACCAAATAGTATCAGCAAATATATCTCAAAACTTCACCTTGTTCAACCGCTGGCTCTCCTGCAACAAACAGCAACCAAAAGGGCTCTATTTATACTCAAATACGGAAGCTGGAATCCCACCACCACTCACCACGTACAGGCTGTAGCTAGAAAGGGCCTGGAAATAATAAAAAACGAGGGAAAAAGAAGAAAGGGACAACCCCAATAAGGCAAGAAAAAGATGGGAGGTAAAGGAAAGGAGCTTTTTTTTTTTTTTTGGCGATCGGAGAATCTATGAACATTACAGAGACGCAACCATGCATGAGCCATGGAGTTGATAATAAAACATAAAAGGGTGAAGGGGAGATGGTGCGCTTATGCTAGAGTTTACATACAGGAATCAATGCTTTTCGGCAGTGGAGAGGGAACAAATAGCAAAAGACCTAGAATATTTTTAACGGTGAACCAGCAAAGATTCAATTTTTATCGGCATTTTCAGTGTTAGGGCTTTAACTTGGCATATCAATGGAGAGTTCGTATGGGTGGGAGAGGAACTTGCCATTGGAGAGTTTCCTTCAGGCTGTCGAATTAGCTGCCGGCCGCATTGCCCATAAGTGGAGGCGGTTGTGCTCTGCGGAGCTCCGGCGATGAGATTCTACTTTTCCTGAGTGCGCTGTTAATTGGCGGACGTAATATTTGTGTAATAGATATATATATATTACTACAACATTTAAGGCTGTCAAAAAAGCTTGTTGTTCGGGAACAGTTCGTGTTCAGTTCGTCAATGAGTTTGTGTTCGATTCGTTCGATAAGTATACGAGACGAACATGAACAAATTTTTTTTCGTTTGGTTAGTTAAATGAACCAAACATGAACAGTGATGCGTTCGTTCGTGTTCGAATCGTTATTGTTCGAAATATAAAATAATTATATATTAAAAAATTATATATTTAAAAAATTATATATTTAAAAAATTAAATGTTATAAATTATAACATATAATAAAATAATAATAATAATATATTAATATACTATATTAGTAATATACTAATTTATATATTATATATTTATATAATATAAATTATATAATTAATATAATATATTATTTATATATATTAATATTAGGGATGTCAAACTGGCTTGTTGTTAGCGAACAACTCGTGTTCGACTTGTGTTCGATTCGTTCGTTAAGAAACGAACACGAACAGTAACTTCGCGAACAATTTCAAAAATGAGCTTATTTCAAACAAACTAAATTTCAAACGAACCAAACACGAACACAAGCTCTGTTCGTTCGTGTTCGGTTCGTTTACACCC